ATAGCCCGTAACAATTTTTGTAGTATGGAGAAATTAAATATTATCGCAATGTGTTTCCACATGAACTGAATGATAACGACTCGCCGTGCGAACGATAAAAAAAATTCCCAATGGGAAAAAAAACGAAATAAAAATAATTGTCGCGCCAGACGTATACGCATAGTGATTACGCAGCAATACTATTATATCCAGCCTTTCGATACGTTAAATCAATTCTTTTGGTGAAAAACGGGTTTGACGTAATCGAGGAGAATTCTCTCCACTGCGACACGTACTCGATATTATTAAAATCTCGAGTTAAAATCATTGTTTCCGTCTGCCTCGCAAAATTCGTACGGAAATAAATAGGGTGCCTGCTGGAGTAGAGGGTTGTATTACTTTCGAGGGACGCGAAAAATGGATTCGCGCGCGCACGCACACAGCGAGGCAAATGTATGGATACGAATAGGTGGAAATATTACGTGGCGCGCGAGAGAGAAAGTAATATTCGCGAGAGGGAGAGACGCGGCAAGAGAAAAGCGGGTTAGTGAGTGAGGGACAACGTTAGCAAGTTTACTTTGTATGCCACGCAGTGAGGAAGTTCCATGCAGCTGTTAGCCGCGTCTTCCTTAGTTTTCCCCTCGATGAAAACTCGCGCGCGAGTTTAAGCCTCCGTCTTCCATACACGCGAGCGAACGAAAAGCAAATAACCGAATGCGGCTTATTACCATATAAGTGTAAACCAGGGATGTAATCGTAGCGTAATTATGAGAAAAGTAGCGCACGAGTGAATGATCTGACTTGGAAATTACTCGCGAATTGAGGCTAATGCTCTTACTACAGGAAAAGGACGTTACGTCGAGAGCGTGATTCAGTCGACAGAAAAAAAAAGAAAAAAAAAACGGAAACCCCGAGCTGAAAGCGCGAACATTTCGAGCGAGTTTCCTGAACTGATTTCTATTTTGTCACCCGGCCAATCGCTAGGCTCGGTGTATCGCCCAGAAATAAATAACACGGAATACATCATCCCCCTCTCGGATTGCCGTCATACTAGCCGCTTGTTCTCGTCACAAATAGAACCCCCGGGAATTACGCCGCGGAGATCGGCGGCGCGGGATGGGTTGACGCGGTAATACTGGTTATCATCGCGCTGATTGCACCCGTGCCTCCTCCCCTGCGCCTGCACTCGCTACATCCATCGAGCTATCTTCCATTGGTACCCTGCACCTGACCCAGTATATTTCCACCCGAGCTATTCATTACGACCACGAGGTCTACAACGATCGTTCCTTTCACGATACATCGACGTACGAAAATTGGCGAGCAGCACGGTAGCGGTTATGCATTCATACTCGCAGACACGTCATGAATCCTTCCACCGGGAAAGCTCTAAAGCCGTGCCTGAGATTACGGCGCTTTGGCAGGTGAATGTACATACAAGTGATACGCGCTTGATGATCCGGCAATTTTCAAAAGAGAGGAAGTTTTATAACAAAGATATAATTTAAGTGAATAGGCCGTTTTACAAATTAACTCTTCCTCGAACTTCCGCCGGTCGTTACGCTTTCGATTGTAAGTAGCGAAAATTATTTTAATTGCCCGCGAAACCGATTTTCTCCGCCTCGAAAATAAAACAAAAGCGTGACCGATCATAAAAATAACTCGCGTAAGATCGACGGACGTGTCGAAACCGAAAGTTATTCGAGGCCAGTGTGAAACAATGTGAACTAGTTCTTATCACGTAATATTCAGCGAGGCGTGAAATTATTCGCGTATCACGTGAATGATATAATAAAAAAATTAACAAAGCAAAACACGCTATGGCTAGTGCGCAGCTCCTCTATTTGCACGCGTAAACGCCGCCGTACGAGCTCATGCGGCAAAGGTAACGAATGGCAGAAGGCGAAACAGCCACACCTTCCTACGAAATGCGCTCTCCAACCTCTCCACGGCACCGTGCATACGTGTTTACGTTGCGAACGCGCTATGCCAGGCGGAACTAACGGTAACGAACGGTTACGAACGTAAGAGACCGGTTCCCGGAGCAAACGACATTTCGACCGAGCACGTTGCACGGCGGTGCGTGCGGTAAGAGGAAGCGAACTACTCGTGAGACTTCGAAAGAGAGAGTGAATAGAGCTCGCGACGTACTGCTGAAGGCAAATAGATGGATAGATAAATGGATGGGTTAGTTTATCTTGGAACGCGTTCTCGACATAGCGCAGCTTCAAAGGCGGAATGAAGCATCAAAAGAAAGAAAAAAAAATTATTTTTAAATCATTAAAAAATCCTTAAAATAATCGCAACGTTAGTAATAATTAAAAATGGCAGAGATGTAAAAAATTTGTTAAATACAGAAAACTCTAGAAATATACCGCTGACATGACACCATAAACTGCGAACGTTCTTTTGCGACCTGCATGCGGAATACGAAGAGTTGACGCGGAATATAAATGAATTAGGAGAAAGGCCAAGAGAGAAAGACCAGGGAATTCACGCGGAAGCGGAAAGTTTGACGATATTTCGCGGAAAGTGCCTACGCACGAGAGCGGTAGATAATCTTGACGATAATCGACGCGACAGCTCGAAAGTTCCGGCCGTTTCGGGAGACGTAGTGTGTACTCGGCTGGTTTATAGCGGCCTTGCGGTCGTTGAGTTCCGGGCGGTCAGCTCGATGTGGTGCCTGCTGGTGCAGCGGCGTTATCCACTCGCATCGTAACTAGCAGCAGCAGTAACGACGCCCGCTGCTGTTGTTGTTGCTGCCGCTGTTGCTGTTGCGACTGGCCAGACGCCGTTGCACCGACCGAAACCGGCGACTGCATCTGCATCGAGTCGAAGGGGGAGGGAGACGGGCGGACTAGTAAATTACACGTTGACTAGGGCTGACAACCGCAATGCGTGGCACACACGGCCGTGTGCGCGCACGGCAAACCTCCTGCGCGAGACGCCGGTGTGTTTATGCGGCCAGTGAGTCCGGCACTGTCAGCCGGTCTAGGCCACTCCTGTGAATTATAGACGAGCCAGCCTTAATAAAGACGCGGTGGATGCCCGAAATTCTCGCCCGGCGTTCCATCGGTCGGGCCGGAGTACGCGCGATTCCGTCCAATTGCCAACTGCGTTACGTATACTATACGCCGCGTCGCGCTGCACACGTGTTTCGATATGAAATGCCTCACACTTAAATACTGAGTGACGATATGGAGAAGAATACAGAGTATTATTCTTCTATCATAGAACAATTATAATTATTTAACTCCATCAAGTATTTTATTAAAAATTGCAATCAATGATAAAGCAAACATTGCCAATTGTAAACGTGGTATCGTTGTGGATGCAATATTTCAGAACTCTGCGATTTAAACGACGAGTTTATTATTTTTTTTCTTTCAACCAGACATTACACAAATGTGTATTATTCCAGAAATGATAAAAACAACAGAGTGCACGCGCTTTTATTTCAAAGGGAGAGATATAACGTCGACGGTGAGAGCGGAGCGCTGTTGAACCATTTAAATCCGTGTACGCGTGGAATATCAATGCCAAACACCGGTAGTTATGTATATTAGGAGCAGTAAAACTGATGCAAATTTATTTCGAAATTCCGCGCCGTTCTCGTAAAGTCGTTTGAAAACTACCCTCGTAAAACGATTTGAGACATTTTCTTTGCGCGCCGCGGACACACCGGCGGTGAGACCTTAGCGCGCGCGGCGCACTATCGTTCTTTAAGTAATTCCACATCCTGCCCTTAAGGTAACGACTTTGATCGCAGGAGCGTGCTCTCGACTGCGTCTCGGCTGCGCCGCGGAAAATGTGCTTTATCGTACGAACGCTTCGCCCGGAGCCTCGTGCGCGACGTTATTTCAGTATAACCATAACCGATTAGTATTCATACGCGGTATAAAGATAAACACAGCTCGATATGTTTAAAAAGAGGAAAAACGCGCTTCCGCGCACAGACGGGATTTAGAAACGTAACATTTCGCGTTTATTTTATCGAGGGAACAGCTATTCTTCCTGATATCCTTTTTATAAATGTGCTGACACTAGGTCGCTATAAAAATCGATTCGACCTCGCAATAATAATCGTAGAGTTAGCCAAGTTATTCCGGAAAGAAGAGCGTGCTCCCGCACCGCGAGGTGAGATAGGCCGAACGAGCGCGCCGGAGGGGAGCGAAAATTTAAAGGCAGTCGTATATTATCGCGACGAAGGGGTTGTCTGAGGTTAACTGCCAGAGCTTCGTAAGAGGGTGGATCGGACGGTGTCGCGGGGGTGCCGGGACGGGGAAGAGGCAAGGCTGTGCCATGAATATGCCGCCATTAGTCACACGCCGAATCGCGCCGCAGAAAGAGAAGTAGGTGACACGAATTTCCCGGAATTGCGCGCGCCCTATTGGTATCCTGGGAAGTAGTAATGCGAACAATTCCCCGTGAATGCGCATTTATTCCGGGCCCCGTCGCCAACCCGCGTCGGAATCGGCGGCGCAGCCTTAAAAGCTCGGTAAAACTTCGTCGAATCGCCGGCAAGAAACTCGTCGCGCCATTCCTCTCTCGTTCCGTCCGTCTCCCCCCCCCCCTCCCCCTTTATCCTCTTACTCTCGCGGTGTCAAGCCGCCCTGTCGAAACATTCAGGACTCGTGGCGGCTGCCGTGTCACCGACAGACCTCATCGTTACATCTCAAAAGGCAGCAATGAAACGGTTAACTAAATTGCTACACGCTCCGGCTGTCATTCGCAGGGCCCGCTGCCACTCCGTCCTCCAACCCGTCCGTATCCGCGCGCGATCCGTCGCTTTTAGCTGCAAATCCATCTCTGGCCGCAAAATCTGACGGAGTGAAGAGTGTCGAGGAAGTTTTTGTAAAGACGCGCCATCATGCGCGAATTTATTTGGAAACGTTTCGCTAAACACGATACACTCAAGCGTATTCGCTTATTCATACGCTTCTAACGCTTTTCAATAGCGTATACAAAGACAGAGTGTACAGGAACACTTTTAAGGTATTCAAGTGAGGTAATGAAAGGTGTAAAGTCTTGGTGAATTTATATTTGATGCCAATAGACAGTGTCTGGTGTTAGCGTCCTGATGCCGGACGGCTCGCAATTCGTGCCGCGGATGATATCGTCGACTTTTCCTCTAATTAAACGAAAGTTTGTCTCCGTCGGCCTGAGACTCATGTTTATCGTCTTCTGGAGCCGATTGGTGTTGAACCACAATTCTTCCCTGCCGACCTTATTCGCGATCACCTTAATGCCGCTCACGTACTGCAGAGTCTCCTCGTCTTGCGCTATTATCACGACGTTCTCCGGAGTAAATGGTTTCCCGATGTCCCAACAAGCAATGGCGGTTAATTGGACCAATTGGAAAAATATTACGCCTCTTCGAGAGGTCGCCTGCACACCCGCTTGGCTCGCGCGCTTGTAATTTGATTGAAATACCACCGGCTCCCAGTACTCGCTTCGCGTCAACGAAAATGTGTCCGTGAATTTCTGGTAATAGCTGGCGAGCGAGTTAAAATACAGATATCTGAAAGTAGTAAACACATCGTGACAGAGATGGCGGACAACTTTTTCTCAGTCTACGAACAGCAAATTGATGTCCACATAACAAAGTTGAGACAATGTTGAAATTTCACAAAAGTTAATTTGTCCCAATTTTATATATCCGAAAAACGATTCAGATCTCGATTGAATGTAAATAAAGCAATATTTCTTGACTCGAACTGATTAATCCAGAATTGATGACAATAATTAGCGTCGATACCTGTGCTTAAAAATCCCATCGGCGACAGTGACATACCGAGGGT